ACACACACACACACACACACACACACACACACACACACACACACACACACCTGTCTCTTATACACATCTAGATGTGTATAAGAGACAGGTGCAGTACAGCTGTGAAGTCGGAACAAAAAAAAAAAAACAGAGGAGGACTGTTTTCCGAGCCTTAGGCTCTGAGTCGTCGGCTACCGCCGACCGGTCGGCCCCGATCGGTCGGTACAATACGGTCGGCGGTCGGCCCGACCGGTCGGCGGGGATGCAACCCTGAGGACATCTCAACACATCATTGTATAAGGAAGCTGGTTTTGACTTCCAAATCATACACGTCATACACATCACATCAAGGTTAGGGTTCCGTCTGATAGATAAGATTGGGATCGATGCCTTACTTTGTTTTGGAGACACTATAGATCAGATGGATAGGGTTCTCCCATCATCTGATATATATGTGCATACATAGGTAGTTGGAGATATCAACACATTTCTGCATAGGGACGCTGGACCCGATTTCCAGCTGACACATTCATGTCATTTGCACAGGGAGGCTGGACCCGTTTTCCAGCAGGTGTAGCTCCCTACCAATAGATGGAGCCTTCGACGACGGGACCTACTCACTGGGGATGCTCTTATCACCTCGTTAAGTAGGTTTCCCATATACGAAGTTAAAAAAAAAAAAAAAAAAAAAAAAAAACGGACGGACCCGATGGAGGTGAACGAAAATTTAGAGTACCAGACTGTTGGGACCAGGCGGTGCTGAGAGTGAGAAAGGAGCTTGGAAGGATAGGAAGGAGATATGGAAGTAGATACCATATGGAGACAACTTAGGCATGCTAAGAAATAATGGAGGACTGGTATGCGGCCTGAAGGGCTGCTCAGAACGCCCCCCTCCAATGCCATGCCCCCCCTGCTCTACTGCGTGTCTGGGTGCTGCTAGTAAGCCTGCTGACCCTGGAGACTAGGTTCTGGCCAATGCCTGGCCAAACCCCATCCTTGTTTACCATGATACCTAGGAATCTTAGTGCCTGATCTCCTGTAGACCATGACATGGGTGTGTTGGCCGGTTGGGGAGGCGTCCCGTCTGCTAGCCATCATCCTTCGGTCTTGGCCCAATTGACCTTTGTTTCTGATGCCAGTCTAAAGGCTTCCGTTGCTCTTGCGAGGGCTTGGAAAGAGCAGTTGTTGGCACGAATTAGAGTCGTGGGTAGGGCGAAGTCGTGTAACGGATTCAACTTGCGTTCGGTAAGGCGGTCAATGGACGAGTCTTTCCGAAGGAAGGAGGCTATGGCTTCCATAATGAATAGGAAGATGTGAGGAGCCAGTGGATCGCCTTGTCTAACCGATCGTGAGATCGGGTAGGTCTCTGAAAGAATCCGATTGACCTGAACTCTGCCTGTTGCTTTGACATTCTCTTGATCTGTTGGATCTTGAGATCGGGTAGGTCTCTGAAAGAATCCGATTGACCTGAACTATTGACCATCTCTGTACCTGCTGTTTTGACATTCTCTTGATCTGTTGGGTCTTTGAGGACCTCTATCATGTTGTTCCTGGCGTTTGCTTTGATTCTGGAGAAAAATAATTTAGTCACGGATTCATTGAGAGTGTAGTCCGCCATCCTGGCACATACTTGCAGTCCTCTCAAAGTCCCATCTTCTCCATCGTTTAATCCCTCTTTAGTATCAGTTAGTAGATCCTGGTAGAACTCGACAGAGGGGTCCTCTGCGAGGTTGGCTTCTGTGACTGAGATGGCGAGTTGGAGTTCTTTCGTTCTCCTTTTGTTATCCCCCACTATGCCCCGTGATTCTGCTGATACTGTTCGTGTTAGGTCTGCGTAACTGTCGATGAACCATGGGTGCCTGTTCGTCCGTCTGAATTCTCGCTGTTTTTGGATGGACCAATTTTCTTTGACCGCTATGGAAAGCCTCTCAGTCGCTAGGAGGGAGTTGTTCACCCTAAAAAAACTGTGTCCTGTTTCGACTGGTGAGTTGCAATTGAGCAGCAGTTGAGTGCGCTTGTGGTCGAGTCCTTTGAAGGTAGCCGAAGGACGTATTTCAGCTTCCTTGATTGCACCTTGTAGGCTCTCAGAGATCAGGAAGTAATTGATCCTGGACAATGAGGTCCCTCCATCGGGTCCATCCTAATATACCATCTCCCACTGTATAGTACACCCACCACTATGCCAACCTTCTTTCTTTTTTTTTTCTTTTTTTTTCAGCCACGACTCAGACGTAGTTGTTTCTTTTCCTTTTTTCTGTTTTTTTTTTTTTAAGTTGTCTTCTCCTCATATATGGGGGACAGCTGTATTTTTTACTATGCTATTTTCTTCTCTCAATACTTTTTCCACCTCACACTGACTGCCTACATACCCTGCGCTATCTACCCACCTATCTAGCATGACAAGACAGGGAACCCACCTATATCCATTTGCCTCTACTCTCTGCGGGGAGTAGTACCCAGGCTCTCTCTAACCCCTAGCGAGGGATGGCAAGACTCCTGAATCCTGCCAAGACCAGCCAGGGAGCCAACTATCTCAGCTGGTAAACCCCGAGTTCGCTGCAAGGGGACATGGGGAATCAAACAGACAACTGGGGCATCAAACCCACAACCTCCTGAATGCCACTTGTGTGCTGTACCAACTGAGCTAGGCCGCCGGCCCTTCTTAAGCCATCCTTCATTTAGGCGTGGCTTGCATTTTCCTGGCCCCCTTCACTTAGGGTAGGCAGGACATTTTTCTCCATTGCCAAGGGCCTTTCCTGCACGGCTGAGGGCCTAGTTCCCCACACAGGGGCAAGCAGAGATTTTAAACAGACCCATCACTATGATCCCAGTATGAGGGAATCGCAGTTTGCCTTGGAACAGATGGGGAACAAAAAAGCTCCGGGTATTTGATGGACTGACAAAAGAATTTTGGGTTCATTTCTAGCCTACTTTGGGTAACGGCCTTGTCAAGTTCTTCAATGACAGCTGGGATAAGAAAGGTATAGATGGATTTCTGAGCACGGCCATGGTTTCACTACTGCACAGGAAGGGAGACAAGGACTCGAAAAACTACAGGCCAATTTCTCTACTCACAACCCCTTACAAAATCCTGGCAAAAACACTGGCTAACAGGATCCTCAATTTATCGGACAAGTGTTTCCATATTGACCAGGCTGGATTCATATGCGGGCATTTCGACTCACCCTTCCTGGGAGAATGCGATTTCAACTTGCCGTGGGGCAAGATGCATGCAGCGGCTGGTACAATTTCGAGGAAGGCTTACGAATCCCAGGCCACAAGAGGACAAATTCCAAGGGCATGCACCGGGTGGGAATCGATTCCGGATGGCGGGTGGAAAATGATTCTGGGGAAGGGTTTCGAACCCCGAGCCACAAGAAAACAAGTTTCGAAAACCCTGAAACAAAATGTGGGCGCCGAGGTGCCTGGTTTCCAACCCTGGATTGCCTGCAACAAAACAGGGTGCAGTGCAATGATTTAAATAAAACTGAAACAACATGTGCGCGTGAACAGGCTGCAGATCAGCGCCTCCCCATCTTGTGCCACTATCGGATGCCTCTTGTGCTCCCATGTTGCCAGACACACACAAAAGAAACCGCCCCAACTGTCAGAGCGCTTGGAAAAAACAAACTAGCCACCACGTGTCTGCAAACTGCTGGGCTGAAAACGAAACAAAGAGAGTGCCATGCACAAAACGGGGTGCGGCGCAATAATTTTAAAAGCTGAAACAAAACATGCATGTGAACAGGCTGCAGATCAGCGCCTCCATCCTCCGCCACTATCTGACGCCTCTTGTGCTCTAATGTTGTCGTACACACTGAAAAGAAGTCGGCACGACTGTCACAAAGCACCCTCACCTGTCTGTCTCCCAGAAGGACGTGTCCACAAACTGCCGCGAGTTGGAATGCAGAATTTCCATTTTAGACCACCGATCCCGAGATCAGGCGACCGTGCTCTCCTGCGGGCTCGGCACACGTAGAGGCGCCTGCAGCTGATAAACTTTCGAGTGTTTTGTATTGGTCGCAAGAATAATAATATGAAGAAGAAGAAGAAGAAGAAGAAGAACGGAGCAATCCTGACCTGGAATGAAGGCTGCGCACATAGGAACTCAGTACCTCAGCAGCCTGAGTTGCAGTCACAGAGGTATAAACACCTTTCACGCCTGCAATCCAACAGATGGTGAACCAAACTTAGAGCATCACCCCCTACATCTTTTGGGAGCTCTTCAAGCATTGGCCAAGAAAAGTATTTCAAAATAAGCAATAACAGTTAAAAACTTAAACGAGCACACAGAAAGGGGAGAGGCAAGGACAACAGCAAGAGTAGCAGCGGTACTGCTAACATACTTAACAGCAAATAGAGAAACAAAAAAAAAAGAATAAGAATGATGCCCATATAAGCATTGCTTCTACTCAGTAGGGAGCCCGGCATTGTTTCTGTTGCTCAATAGTATTGCCTATCATTGTCAGCACAGACACTGGGCATTGAAGCTGAATAGGACAGACTCCCTATCAGAAGCCTGCTCACATTTGATTGATCACGCAACCTGCCTTCAGATTCTAAATTGAAGGAGCCCACACAATACCTCATCGGAGAGTAGAAAATAAACACACACGCATGCCTCAAAATACGAAGGAAAAGAAAAGAAGCTTAAGGTTGTAGAACGACATATGGAAGCTCAAGGACCTCCCTGGACATAAAACCCGGCAGAAAATAAGTGCCCCCACAGCCTTTTTATACCATAAAGAATATGGTGAAACATTGTGCAGGTGATGAGGCAAGATGGGGAGGTTAAAGAGGAGTGTAGACCAGCAGGTTGAAGTGAAGGTGTCATTGATGCAAAATTTCATACTCATAATTCACAATTATTTCCGAACACTGTTAACAGCCATTAGCAAACATGGCAGGCTCAAATTCATTGGTTCTTTTACAGTTAATAGAGAACACAGTGGATTTTGGAAGTTGTGTGGACAATAGTTCCCTGGGCGTACAACGGGAAGAGAGAAGAGAGGTTCTACCAGTGGGACGCAAATATGGGCACATATCTGTATGCTCAGTTGATTCCATATTGGGACCGTGTCTTGATGGCGAGCTCGTCCCTTGGTGGGGATGCCGCCAATTTCGCCAGCTCCCTGATGAAGGAGGCAGGCTGCTCGTCAATGGTGGAATACTCTTAAGTGCACTCCCATAGAGGATTTCTTTAAGGCCCTGAAGAGGTTCGAGGATAAGAACCTGGCCTGACGCACTGAGCACTTGATTCTCAATATAGCCGATCTGAAATGGAAGGGTGTCACTGCGTTGAAAGCCACCATGGATGAGTTATTGCAATGTCCCGATCACAGTCTAGTCCCCACTAAGATTCTGAATAACTTTGCGGGAGCGATGCTTGATCCCCTAAGGACCACTCTGTATCCACGTACGAAAGAGGAGGCATGACTTACAAGAAATTTAGTAAGATCACCATAGATCAGGCCGGCTTCCTAATGGAGGCCAATTACTGTCATTACTGGAAGGACTGCAGAAAGGAGGGCGATGGAAGAATAAAACTATAGCAGGTAGTATAGAAGGGAAGGACAGTCTTCTAGTCACGTTTGAGGGAGGGAGAGTTGGAGCACTACCCTACGAAAACATAGATTACGGACTGGAAGAGCCCAACAGCAACCAAGTAGCCCAGGGAGGGGACTATTCGGCTGCTGCAGCCCACAGGGGAGGACGACAAGGAGGAAGAGGTGGAGGAAGAGGGCATGGGACCGAAGGTAGCTATTACGTGGGAGGTAGGGGTAACGGTTGCCCGCAAGGTGAACATGGTTCCTCCTCCACAGGTGGAAGAGGTAGAGGGCACAGACCATGGCCAGCACATCAAGGAATCGCTGATGGTGAACCGTGGAAAGAGGGGGCATCGAGCAATCGTTGTGGCAGAAGAGGCTTACTGCCAACCAATGCCTAAAATGTGGTGATCCCAACCACATTGTCTGCTTTTGCCCAGACTTCTGCTACCCAAAGGGAGCAGCATTAAGCATCATGTGTGGACATTACATGTGATTAGCTACCCAGCCTTATGCCTGAAGTGTGCGCACATTTAGATGTTGGTGAACAGATCGTGAGCTCAAAATTCAAATCCTGATGGGCACAATCATCTCGAGGACTGCCCCTTCTTCCTTATGCTTATCCTTATATACTCTTAAAGTGAATCGCGGGTTTCGTGTAACGAGAAAGAAGGGCGGGGAGCCAAGCCGGGCCCAAGTAAAAGTGTGGGAAAAAAGGCGGGGCCAGGCCCAAGGAAAAGTGTGGCTCGCCTTCTTCCCCCCCCCCCTGCAGTGGCGCTGGCACGGCTGGATTTTGCCTAGGTTCAGATACAAGTAAATAGCGGGCGTGCCTCTCTGAAGCGCACAGTTTCAGCAGTCGTGGTTTTGTTTTTTTTGTGAAAAGGCAGCACGCTGATGCTTCCAGATACCATCCGCGACCTTGATCTTCATGCTCCTCGTGGGACGTTTCTCCCTTTTTCGTTTTTTTGTTCTTAGGGGGTGCACGTCGTTTCTGTGCTGGAAGCTTCTACGTGTAGGTTCGTTGTTTTTTTTTTTTTTAATAGATTCATTGTGTCGTTTTTTGTGGATTCGTTTCTACATTTTGTCTTTTTCCAGCAGCCTCGACATGATGCCACAGCCAGCGGGCCTCACCACATGCACAAAAGACAGAAAACCTGGGGGTGTACATGTGCAAAACGAGAGTGAATCTTCCACTAGAACATGGAAAGATGCACCGTCACGATTTTTGTTTTTTACCCATGTCCAGAGTAGTGGAGCGAGGCCCTAAGATAGCGCGGCTCGCCCGGAAAAAGCTCTCACTGAGACTCTGAGCCTCGCTCCTTTGCCTTTCCTGGATGTGAAAAAGTTCCTTCAGGTGTGGCGCGCTCAAACGTCTGACAGAGGGCCTCGCTCCACTACTCACCAAAACTGCAAAGTGTCGCGGTGTACCTTTCCGTGCTCTGGCGGAGGATTCGTTCTCATTGCAGTTTTTTTTTTCCCCCCTCTCGTTGGCCCCCGCCGCAGACGCGGCGGGCATCCCCTTGTAAAATTGAAAGAAAAAAACAAAAAGCAAGAATGTGACTAGTTGCTAGGTAGCTTTCGGGTTCCATTACAACAGGCTGTTTCTGCATCAGGGAAGCCATAGCCATGAGCTGTTAACTATTTGCACGTTTCCTTGGTTTTCTGTACTGAGCTCCGCGGTTCAGCCAGTTGACGGATAGTCGCAAGGCCGTGTTGTGTGGCTGATTCATGCCATATGTGCTACATTTGCAGAACCAAGACCTCGCATTTGGAGAGGACAAGACTGAAATAGCTGCAGAAGCAGGGCCTTTCCAGGATCTATCAATTGAACAAGATCCTCTCCATTCTTCATTGAGCTTTACATTAGCTGAAGGCCAAAAATGGTCGAATAGATGACCATAGTCAGCAGAGCACACTGGGTGGTGCGGGAAGTCCTGGGATGAATCACCAAAAAGAGTAATCAGCACTTATCAATACTCAATTACCAGGGCCAGCCTGATCGTTGACAAAATATATTTCGCCTGTTTGGCCGGGGAGGGCGGGGG